AAGGGGGAAGGCGATGATCTTCTACAGAGGGCTCGAAGGGGCGCAATCGCAGCACGATGGGGTGTCGCATGTCTCTCTTCCTCCTCCATTTCGCCGTCGCTGCGGTTGCGTGTGTCTCTGCCGTGGTGTTTTCTTTCATTGCGCTTGGCGAGTGCGGAGGTGGTAAAGGAAACGCTTCTGCTGCGTCAATTTCTCAGCGAAAGTTGTTTGCGTCTTGTGCTAACAGAAGGGGAACGATTCGCTCTTGCAACATTTGGATCGGCGACGGTGATGGGTCAGTACGATCTTATTGCAAATCTTGGGTCCATCATGGCCCGCCTTGTTTTTCGCGTGTGGGAGAACGCCTGCTTTGTGAAGTGGAGCCGTGACGCTGCGGGGGGTAAGCCGGAGGAGGCCATCAACCTTCTTTTTACCATGCTGCGGGTTGCATCGTATTTTGGTGCGGCAGTTGTGCTGTTGGCGCCACCAGTTGCGGAGGGGTTTCTTCTGAGACTGTTTTCCAGCCGTTGGGCCTCCCCGGTGATGGTGCAGGCGCTGCAGTTGTACTGTTACTTGTTGCCGCTCCTGGCATGGTTTGGACTGCTGGACGCATTTGTGCGTGCGACGGCATCGGCATCCATGCTGCAGCTTACGCAGCGTGTGATGTTGGCTCAGGCTGCGGTGTATGGTGTTGCATGTTACGTGGTGCTGCACCTGCGCTGGTTGGTTGTTGAACCGGTGCCGGGCCTAATCGTAGTGAATATCATTAGTATGGCGCTGCGCTGCGTGACATGTGTCTGCCTGCTGCTTGCGGGGCCCGCCATGACGACACCGCGGAAGGGTCACGATTCTTCTCAGCCACTTTTGCGGCTGGGCGCATTTAAGGCCGTTTTCAACCGACGGATTGTGCTGGCGTGGGCGGCTCTCTTCGTGTGCACCCGGTGCACCCCATGGGGGTCTCTCTCCGCGTTTACTGCGGCCCCTCTCTTTGCGTGGGCCGTTGTGAAGTGGGACACAGAGCTCCGCCAAGTGGCATGGAACGCACTGCGTCGCTGAGTCCCTCGCATACTAAAGCAGGCGCAAGAGGAAAAAAAACAAAACAAAACAATTTTACATGAAATAGAACCGAAAACACTGTTGTGTCTGTTGTTTCGCAGTTTTTTTTTTTTCCTTTACTGTTGTTGTTGTTTCTTTACCCACCCGCAATGCCAGAGCGGGGAACATCATCGCCCACCAAAAAAGAAATTTTTTTTTTTTTTTACTCCCCTCTTTCTTCTTCTTCTTCTTCTTCTTTCTTTTTTCTTTTTTTAATATTTCAATTGTCTCGTGTTTTGGGAGCAGCTTTTTTTTTCCCACCGTTTACTAGTCGAGAGTAGTCTTGTATTTGCATCCTTTTTTATTTTATTTTATTATCATTACTTTTTTTTTTTTTTTTTGTTTCATCGCATTTCCTTCCGTTAATTTAATTGAATTTATTTTTTTTCCTCATATTTTATTTGTGTGTGTGTTTGTGTACTGTTACGGTCTGTACGCGGTGCCACATGCTTCGTCGCTTCAGTGCTTTGGGGCTGCAGCCCCGCCGGTGGGGCCTGCAAAAGCTTTCGGCTCGCTTCTGCCTCAGCATTAACGTGCCGACCATTGCGGAGTCGATCAGCTCCGGCAAGGTTGTAGGGTGGACCAAGAAAGTTGGCGACGCCGTCAGCGAGGACGAGGTGATCTGCCAGATCGAGTCGGACAAACTCAACGTCGATGTGCGGGCGCCGGCAAACGGCGTCATCACGAAGATCAACTTTGAAGAGGGGGCCGTCGTCGAGGTGGGCGCGGAGTTGTCAACGATGAAGGCAGGGGAGGCTGGCGGAGCGGCAGCGGCGAAGGAGCAGGCAGCGGCCCCCGCGATGCAACCACCACCACCACCACCACCACAGCAGCAGCAGCAGCAGCAGCAGCAGCAGCAGTCATCACCACCACCGCCGCAACAAAAACGGTCTGTAGAAACCCCAGCACCGGCGCCAAAACCTCCGCAAGTTGTGACCACAACGACCACCGGCTCCGACCCACGTGTGCGAAATGTGCGCATCTCTTCCATGCGCCATCGTATAGCGGATCGTCTGAAGGCGAGCCAGAATACGTGTGCGATGCTGACGACTTTCAACGAAATTGATATGACTCCCCTCATTGAGATGCGTAACCGGTACAAGGACGACTTTTACAAGAAGCACAATGTAAAGCTGGGATTTATGTCACCTTTTGTAAAGGCCTGTGCCATTGCACTGCAGGATGTACCCGCAGTCAATGCCTCCTTTGGTACGGACTTCATTGAGTACCACGATTTTGTTGATATCAGCATTGCGGTATCAACACCACGAGGGCTTGTTGTTCCCGTTCTGCGTGATGTACAGAAGGCCGATTTTGCTCAGATTGAAAGGCAAATTGCCGACTTCGGGGCGCGGGCAAGGGTGAATAAGCTGACGCTGGCTGAGATGACGGGCGGTACATTCACCATCAGTAATGGCGGCGTTTTTGGCTCGTGGATGGGGACCCCAATCATCAACCCACCGCAGAGTGCCATTCTCGGCATGCACGCAACGAAGAAGAAGCCATGGGTGGTGGGAAATGAGATTAAAATACGCGACATTATGGCGGTAGCACTGACGTACGACCATCGCCTCATTGACGGCAGCGACGCGGTGACATTTCTTGTGAAGGTGAAGAACCTCATTGAGGACCCCGCCCGCATGGTGCTTGACCTCGCGTAGGAACGGGAGGGCGCATGTATGTTCCTGTGCATGTCTGCCTGTCTGTCTGTCTTTCTGTCTTTCTCTGTCCGTGTGTGTGTGCGTGGCGTTTGCATGTTTTTTTTTTTTTTTTGCCCTTCTTACTTTACTGATGTGTTTACACGGCGCGTCTGCGCGCATTAAAAAGCAATTCGTTGAGTTTTTTTCTTTTTTCTCCCCTTTTCTCTCTCTGTGAGGAGGAGGAGGAGGAGGAGGAGGAAACAACGGCAAACAAACAAAACAAAAGCGAAGAAAAAAAAAAATTAATATAAAAAAAAAGGAAATAAATATGAAATAAAAGGGCAATAAATGAAACGAATCGAAAAAGAAACGAAAAAAAAAAAAAAAAAAAAAAACCAGGAAATTATTGAACAAAAGAAACAACAACAACAAAAATGACGATGACGATGGAGAGAAGAAGTGGGGAGGGGAAAAAGAGGGAGAAGCGAAGGGAAATGGGCCGCTCAATGCGGCCTGGTAAAGCATGTAAAAACTGGAGAGGAGCAGGAAGGCGAGAAGGGGGGCATCAAAGGGAGAAAAAGCAAAAAAAAACAACAACAAAAAAAAAAAAAAAAACAAAAACGGAAAGGAGAAACAAATGTGGATGGTGGTGATTGTTTTCCATTTTTTTTTTTTTTCTTATTATTATGAACACTTCGTGAATATGTTTTTCTGCCCGTATGGGAAATGTGTAGGAGAACTCCTCTCCCCGTGGACACGCAGAAAGATGTGTTGCAGGTAAACTTCCGGAATATATATATATATGTATATATTGAAGTGGGGCGTGTGCCTTTGGTTTTATTTACTTTTTTGGGCTGCGCTTCATGTCTGTTCCTGCCATTTGTGCACTTTTCTCTTTCTTCTCTTCACACACACACACACACACACACAGAGGGAGAGAGAGAGAGAGAAGGGGGCAGGTGTATATACACACATTCACACTTGTCATTGTGCCTGAAGGAAGAGGGAGTAGTGAGAAGGGGGAAAAGGCCCGACGGGGATATTTAAATATTAAATAAAATAATTACACATTTATATCCCCTCCGTACACCCCCTCTTTTTTTTTTTTTTTTTTTTTTTTTCTTCTTTCTTTTATAGGGGAGAGGAGGAACGTCGTGTGGGTAACAGTGAAGGGGGGAGAGGCAAAACCGCAATAAAACTGCCGACAAGGAAAAAAGAGACAAGAACAAAAAAGAGAGTTCAAAGCTAAAACGAAACACACACAAGAACGAAAAAAAGAAAGAACAATAAAAAAAAAAAAAAGAAAGGGTCACGCATACACCGACTGAAAGAAATGGGCATACATGAGGCAGAGGAGGTTCGTATGCTCTCCAAGCAGGAGTTGTTGGCGGAGCACATTAAGGCGATCCAAAGCGGTTACTCTGTCAAGCCACACCTTGAGTACACAACGATTCGCGCCGTGAATGGACCGCTGGTCATATTGGGTGATGTGCGTCTACCGACGTTTGCGGAGATTGTGAATATCGAATTAGCCGATGGTACCCTTCGCCGCGGGCAGGTGTTGGAGGTGGACGGAGACAAGGCCGTTGTCCAGGTGTTCGAGGGAACATCCGGCATCGATGTCATGCGCTCCAAATGTGAGTTTACCGGAAAAGTAATGGAACTCGGCGTCAGCGAAGACATGTTAGGTCGTGTCTTTAACGGTTCTGGCATTCCTATTGACAATGGCCCCCCCGTATTGCCTGAGCAGTACCGCGACATTCAGGGGATTCCAATTAACCCACGGGCACGTGTGTACCCGGAGGAGATGATTCAGACCGGGATATCGTCTATAGACGTCATGACGTCCATTTCACGAGGACAGAAGATTCCACTCTTCTCTGGTGCTGGTCTTCCTCATAATGAAATTGCTGCCCAGATTGTGCGTCAGGCCGGTTTGGTTCGAAAGGAAGGAAAACAAGAGGATTTCTGCATTGTGTTTGCAGCCATGGGTGTGAACCAGGAGACAGCACGATTTTTTCGTACTGAGTTTGAGGAAAATGGATCTATGGAAAAAACAGTTCTGTTTATGAACTTGGCCAATGATCCCACAATTGAGCGCATCGTCACACCCCGTCTTGCTCTTACCACCGCCGAGTACCTTGCGTATGACTGCGGCAAACATGTGTTGGTTATTCTGACAGACATGAGTTCCTATGCCGATGCCCTTCGCGAGGTATCGGCGGCGCGTGAGGAGGTCCCCGGGAGACGCGGTTTTCCTGGATACATGTACACGGATTTAGCCTGCATCTACGAGCGTGCTGGCCGTGTTTTGGGACGTGCAGGGTCCATCACGCAGATCCCTATTCTTACGATGCCCAATGATGACATCACGCATCCCATTCCGGACCTTACGGGTTACATCACAGAAGGTCAGATTTACGTGGATCGGCAACTTCATAATCGTCAGTTGTACCCGCCCATCAACATTTTACCATCCTTAAGCCGACTTATGAAGAATGCCATTGGTGAGGGCATGACCCGCAAGGACCATGGTGGTGTCAGCAACCAAATGTATGCTGCGTACGCCATCAGTCGGGATATTTTGGCCATGAAGGCGGTCGTTGGTGAGGAGGCACTCAGCAGCGAGGACCTCCTTCACCTGGAGTTTTTGGAGAAGTTTGAGAAGAAGTTTATTTGTCAGGGATTCTACGAGTCCCGCGATGTGTTTCAGAGCCTTGATCTCTGCTGGCAGCTTCTTCGCACCTTCCCGAAGGTTTTGCTCAACAAGATTGACGTCAAGACGCGCAACGAGTTCTACGACCGCCAACCCGAGCGGAAGTAGAGGTGTGCTCGCATGCATTAAGTGTTTATAAACCCAAAGAGGAGGCAAGAGAGGAAGTGGACGAGACGATGGCGCCACCTCCTACGCCTGAGACGGCTGCCGCGGTATTGCGAGGAGTATCCTAGAGCAGTCATGAAGCAGCGGCGGCAACAGGGAAGGGGAATTGGGGGGTGGGGGGGTTAGGGTAGGAGGCAGGATAAAGTAAGGAGCACGCACATGTTTAACGAGTGAGGACAGAAGGGGGTGGGGGAAAAAAAAGAGGGGGATGGGTGAAGTGTGCGTGTAATTATGTGTACCTGTGAGCGTGTATGTACGTGTGGGGTGATAAGGCCAATAGCGCCAACGGGTGCTGCCGCTGTGGAGCGAGGAGGAATCAAACAACAACAACAACAACAATAACAATAATAAAAGAAAAAAAAAAAGGGAAAAATAGGCTGGAAATTACATTTTTAAATACACAAACGCACAGGCACTATATGTATGTATGTATGCATGCGTTGCAGGGACAATGAAACGTGAACCACGGTGGAAGGAAAAGGAGCGCAGCGCAGCGCACACACACACACAAAGTGATAGAGACAACCACACACATGCAAAAAAAAAAAAAAAAGACAAAAACAACAACAACAAATATTGGGCTTGTTGTGCTTGTGTTTTTTTATTTTATATTTTATTTTGCTTCGTATGCATCTTTTCTCCCTTCTGTCTTTTCTTCCTCTTTTCCCACAACGACGACAACAAAAAACGCCTCTGCGAATACTCCGTGGGAGGTGTGTGTGTCTGTGGTCCGTGGGGCTAGCCAATCCTTGGGTGGAGCCAGAAGACGGCGTGAAGCAAACACATAAAAAAGGGGCGGAAGGAAATAAAAAACAGCCGTTGAGGCAATTACAAACAAACGAAAAACAAAACAGAAAAAAAAAAAAGGAATTAATAATAATAGGTGGAGAGGGTGAGGAAGAGTGAGGGTACCCGTTAAAAAAACAAAAACGAAAACAAAAAAAGAAAAACAGCGAAGGGAGCCATTTATGCAATTTAAGACTACCGTGGCAAGTCCTTCATTAGCGGCGTCACATCTCTTTGATGTTGTTGTTTTTGCGGGTGGGACGGCAGATAGTCTCAGCCCACTGTGCAACAATGAGCCGAAGCCCATGCTTTGTATCTGCAATCGGCCCATGATATGGTACTGCCTGTACCCCTGGTACGCCGCCGGCTGTCGTACTTTTTTTGTTTCCGTCAACGAGGACTACGCGGCGTTGCAGAGTTATCTTCGTCGGGAGTTTTCGGATGTGGAGTTTGTCTTTGTGCTGGTGCCCTTCACGCAGAATGAGGCGCCGTCAACCACCTGTGACGTTGTGAAGGCATATTTGAAGCACAAGGAGTCCTTGTTGCCGAATAAGTTGGGTCATGCACGTGATGCCCTGCTCCTCAGCTGCGACACACTTCTGCCCGGATTGGACCCCGAGCCTTTTATTCGCAATTTTTACTGTTCAGTGGCGTCGGTGTCGGTTCTTTTGTTTCGTCCGCTGAAGTGCACGCGCTCATCAACGGTGACGGAGGCATCATCGTCAGGCGGGGCAAAAACCAACAAGGGGCACGGTGCTGGGTTTCCTGTAAAGCCGTATGCATACCGTTACACCTGCACCGCGTATGAGGAGACGGATGAGGATGACAACGGTGCCTCGACGACGAATTTAGGGGAAGACGGTGAGGCCGTTGGGGACACCAAGGGGGCCTGTAGTTATAGGTTGCACTTCATGTGCCCATATGAAGAGAGACAAGAACTTCGTATTAGCATGGGATTTGCGGGTCGTCGACCAAATCTCACCTTTTCTTCTGACACAATGGACGCACATGCCTATCTTGTGCGACACTGGGCATTAAATGCTATCGCAGAGTCTGCGGGTAAGGGCATGTCGGTACAGCGTGATAGTATCCCTTTTTTGGCTAGGAGTCAGCATAGTATAGTAAATGAGAATAAGATGACGTTCCTACGTCCAGATGGAAAGATTAAGTATAATATTCCAAAGCACTGGTTGCTTGAAAGCGACTCCTCTGTGAATTTCCTTAATGCTTCTCCGGGCCCTGTATTGCCCTCAGAGGCGGATAATCTTCTTGTATGCTGCACCATTTACGAAGAAAGGCCGGAGAAATGCATGCGTGTTTACCGTGTCAGGACAAGGGAGGATTATATTGCAGTGAATCAAGAAATTTTGGCAGCAAAATGTCAATTACTGGAAATGAATGAGGTTAATGGAAGGAATAGTATGAGAATCAGCAGCTTCAGCAGCAGAAGCACACGCACATCTCAGCAAAAAGAGAGACTGGGACAAACTCAGAGGGTTTTGCGAACTTCTATGGAGAGGAAGTCTATAAATACAGCTGCGGATTCTGCGCGATTGCCTTTTTCCGCCTTTGCGCTAAGCGGATTAGTGAGTAATGCCGCTTTTACGATACACAAGACTGATACTTCTAGACAGATTAATATCATTCACAGTTTTTTGCGCACCGAGCCGACGTGCAAGGCCACCATTGCCCGTAGTATCGTTGGCAACAACGTGACACTTGGGCCAGACGTACGTATCACGAATAGCATCATTTTGGATAATGCTGAAATTGGTGCAGCTGCGATCATCTCCAACTCTGTTATCGGTTCATCGGCGATGGTAAATTCCGGGGTGCGTGTTGTGAGTTGCACGGTGGGCCCGCAGTGTCTCGTGGAGTCAAACGAGACCGACAGAGTGATTCGCGCGTAATTGTGAGAAATGTTGAAAGGAACTTTTATCGCATTCCGTTGTGTGGCCGCCTCTCTGCATGTTTTTGTTTGTGTGCGTATATATACTTATATGCGTGGTGGAAGCTTGTGCGGCGAGGAAGAAGAAGAAGAAGAAGAGAGGAAAGTGGAGGAGGGGGGAAAGTAACGTGGATTTAAAGCCACTTTTTTTTGGTAGTTTTTGTTCCTTTGTTCTGTTGTTTATTTGTCTCATCTTCAAAAAACAGAAAGAAGAAAAAAAAAAAAAAAAGGCAGGAATAATAATAATAATAATAATAATAATTTTAAAAGAGAGGCACCTTGGGATTTTTGCAGGAGCTGAAGAAGATGTATGCATGTATACATCGGTATTTTAATACCTGCCTATTTTTTTTTGTTTGTTTGTTGTTGTTTTGTTATTGTTCTGCTGCAATGAAATGGAAAGGAAAAGACTATTAAAGAATTGACTTGGAATCGTGATGCTTTACTCTCCTTTCCTTTTTTTTTTTTTTTTTTTTTTTTTTGTGTGTGTGTGTGTGTGTGTGTGTACATGAGAAGGGGGGGAAACGACTTGTGTCCATTCATTAATGGATGTTGTTTATTTTTTTCTTTTTTCACGCTGGACCAAGTGAGGATGAAGCACCGTCTTGTTGTCCTGCAGCATGGCTCCCACGGCACGCATCGTGACTTGGGCTGCCTTGCACGATTTTTGCGGGCACTTGACTCCCCACCGATAGTTTTGGAACCGCAAGTGAATGAGGGGTTTCGTACGGATGACGGGGTTGTGGTGTGTGGTGCGCGTCTCGCAAAGGAGGTGGTCCGTGTTCTCAGCGGACTTTGCTTGGGGGAGTCTTTGGGGCCAGCAACGCACATGACACCTCTTGTAGAGGGGAAGAAGGCTGTGCAGTTAAGTTTTGTTTCTCACTCTATGGGTGGGTTGATTGTTCGGGAGGCGTTGCCGCAGCTGGTTCGGGAGGTACAGCGCCACGAGGGATGTTTACGGGTCGAGTGGAAGGTGTTTTGCTCCATTGCAACACCGCATGGGGGTGCACGCCACATGGATGCTTTTATAAGATCTTATGTTGGGCGCCTGATAGGACGTGTGTACTCTACGGCGTATCATGACATGTTTTTGCAGTCCAATGTTCTTACCGAGCGTTTGATTTCTGCCGAGCATTTGGCTTCCCTTGGACTGTTTGAGCATCGTTTGCTGATATCAAGCATGCATGATCTTCTTGTTCCCCTGATGAGCTCTGGTTTTATGCTGAAGCCCTCGCAGTTTCGTGGGATGAGCCCTGCGGCACGAGAGGAAAGGGAGATGGCCATGTGTGCCTCGTCGGAGGAGGAGATGGATTCAAAGCGACACAGAATTGTGAAACTGACTGCGGAGGACTGGCCACACGACCAATACCCCGTGGAACGACGCATTGCAGAGGCGATGCTTGAAGGAGCGGGCGCTTTTGACTCCATTGTGGTAGATTTTAGTCATGTGCAGAAGCACTGTGACGACCCACACGCGCGACGCACGGCGGAGCAACTCTCTCATCGGGCTCTGGTGTGCAAGGAACCCATTTGTCAAATGGGGCTAGAGGAGGTTTTTTGTTTTGTATCGAGGTGGGTGGCCAACGATCTTGCGGCGTGTCATTGCTAGCACTCTTTGTCTACTTCCATGTGCGCTCGGCAGTCGACGCTGTTCACCGCACCGGTACGTTTGTCTGTCTGTCTCTCTCTCTGTGTGTGTGTGTGTGTGTGCATGGGTGATGTTTTGGTTGAAGTGATGTATTGAAAAGCCATTTTGAATTTGAAGTAAAAAAATAACTGAGAAGTTTTTTTTTTTAAATTTCTGCTGCGATCTCTTTTTGTTTGGTTCTCGCTGCTTTTGGCTCATGTGCCAGAAGAAATAGAGACGAGGGAGAGGGACGGCAACAACAAAGAAAACAAAAACAAACAAACGAAAAAAAAAACAAACGAAAAGATCAAACAAAAGGGCGTGAGAGGCGGTCTTGTTGTTGTTGTTGTTGTTGGGGGGTGGCGGTGGGTTTATAGGGAAGTGCGGCGAAGGATGCCATGGCTTAGTGCCCTTCTCAGTGTGATTGCGGGCCTTCTTCTTTCGGCTGCGCAGGCACCGGTGGTGGAGGCGAAATGGACCAGCAATACAGCGGCATATTTGGGCGATGCGCCTATTTTTTTCCGTGTCACCGCCACAGCGGACTGGGACAATGAGATGAAGACGGGGCTTTTGGGGACTTGGGCCAACCGCAGCAACCTTTTGTGGTACTGTCGTGGGAACGCGGATGAACATGTCACTGGCGGCAAAGACGGCGCCCTCTACAAGCTATGCTGGAACTCTGTGGACTTCCCGAGCCCTATCGTGAGCACCATCTTTGCGGATTTCAATCGGGATGGGAAGCTGGACGTTCTCGTGCAATGTGAGGATGGTGTTTTTTATTTTGTCAACGGCCGGCACCGCGACGACCCTCCCACAGCAATTTCAAGTGAAAATGTACCACATTTTTTTGCTTCGACACCTCAAATGAGTTTGGTGACTGTATTTAGCCGGTGTGGGCTGCCGGAGATTGCCCTGGTGGACGTGACGGGGTCGCTTGTGATTATGCAGGCCACAACACAAACGACATTGGGTGATCATTGCACTGGACAAGATGTCGTACCCACCTTCAATCCGTTTGTATTAGTGGAGGGAGTGAAGGGTGTGAGGGAGGTTGTTCCATTAAGTATTATTTCAGATGACATGGACGGCGACTGTATCGTGGATTTGCTCTACACAGTCCATGAAATAACGAGTGACGCACTGCACGTATATGCATTCTTTCCTGAACGCTCCAAGCATGTATTGTTGTTGACATTACAACCAGCGCGTCGCTACGGCTTTCCCACGGTTGCGGACGTCAATGGAGATGGGGCGCCTGACATCCTTTTTCCACTTTGCGCTTCTCAAAAGACATCCGTATCTTTTGGGGAATGTACACTATTTGATGGTTGGATAGTTTTCTACAATAATTTACAGGGGTCACCCCCATGCGCCGATGGAGGATGTTGTAACGGCCATCCCTTCGGCTTTAGCGAAAATGCATCAAAGGAATTTTATTTCCATGAGAAGAACGATTGTGGCATTAACACAAGTCTACAAATTAGTCTTGCCATGACGAGTTCATTGGCATCGCCATTGCTGCTGCGTACCGGGGATTATAATCGAGACGGCTACATGGACCTGCTGGTTCCGAGCACATACGGCCCTCTACTGCTCATGGCTGAAGCGAATTCTAATGGCATTTCCTTCAGTTGCGGACCTCTGGATGGGGATCGTGCGAGTCGTTCAGCGGACGGCGATCCCACGTACACAAAAGCGGTCCCTTTTTTTGCCATTATTGCAGGTGACGCGGCTCTTGACATTGTGCTGACCTTCCACGGTGCGAGTGCTATTCCCTTGGGGTTTTACATGAATCATCTGTTGTCGTGGAAGCAGAATTACTTCCTTGGAAGCAGTGCCCTTAACGGCGCTGCCGCCTCGCACGACTGGGGGGTGTACCAGCCGGGCGCGGTTCACCGCTTTGGGTGGAGTGACTTCAACATGCGTCAGCGGTGGGCCTACGCCACACAACTGTCCAGGACTCAAGGGCACGCTCTGCAGCCGTCGCGTGTGCTTTTTGGTTTGGGCCGCACCTTCTCTTACATTCACGACTACGCCGTGGGCATCGTGGTTAATCAGCAGGGGGCGCATCACGCGTGGTCGGCGAACCTCGTGCCGAATTCGAACGTGTTTTTGTGGCTTAGTCCTCTGCTCTCGCAGGAGAGCTGGCGGCTGCGGCTGTATCTTGTCTTCTCGACCTACAAGAGACTGCTGATTCTGGTGCTCGTCACCTCACTCGCGCTGATTGCTATTCCCATCATCTTTCTGAAGTGGAGGGAGGTGCAGCACGACTGCCGTGAGTGGAAGCTTCGCTAATGACGACGACAGAAGATGAAGAAGAAGAAGGAAGAGGTGGGAGAGGGACGACGGGGGCGGGTGGCTGAGGGGCGGGGAACACGACAAATCCACAACGCTAGCATGAGGAAGGAAGGCAGCAGCAAAAGGAAGCACCAAAGTGATGAAGCGAATATTTTTTTGTCCGTTAAAATCACAGACAGTGGTGGTGGGTGGGAGGACGTGAAACGCACAGCTGCAGTTGGAACGGTGCCGTGCCACGGGCTCCCATATGGAATGCTTCTAATGAGAGCGAGAGGGACGGAACTCCAAAATGCTCTTTATATTACACTGTTTGTATTCTTTGCATGCATGCGGATACACACGCACACACACAACTTTCTTTTTTTGCGTGCTTTTTTTTATTTTTATTTTTTTTATTTTTTAAACTTGTACATTGTTTTGGAAAGACTCCCGTAAGCGATTTTTAGGGAATACTCTCTCCAGCACACGTTCACACACAAGAAACCAGCAAGCGTCACCTACTACGATGGGCCACCTCGAACAATGGCGTTCTCGGCAGAAGATAGGCATGGGCAAGGGCTCTCGCCACTGCGTGATCTGCTCGAACCAGAAGGCGGTTATTCGGAAGTACGAGCTCAACGTATGCCGCCAGTGCTTCCGTGAGAACGCGGCAAACATTGGATTCAGCAAGCTTCGTTGACGTCGACAGCCCGTGCCGCAGGCAGCTTGGATAAACGACGTCCAAATTGAATTTGGCCTGACGGAATGTCGCGGGGACATCGGGAGTATTAAAATGTTTTTTTTTATTTATTTTATTTTTAATTGTTTCTTTTGTCCCAATGAAGTTGTGGATGTGCCGTTGTGTCGCGGGATATATATATAAATGTATACATTGACGTCCTTTGCTTCATGCTCGGCCTTTGACCGCAATAAAAACTTTTAATGCCTGCCTTCCCACATTTCCTTCTTTCTTGTCTCTGACACATTGCGTGCACCCACACACATATGTGTCAGGGACACCTCTCTCTCTCCGAGGGGATTTTTTTTTTTTTTTGACGAATAAAAGGACCACCCTCCCCACAGCCTCCCTTCAAGAACAAAAGCAAAAAAAAGAGAAAAAAAAAAAAAAGAAAAGGGGGAGGAAAACGAATCACGTGGTAAACGAGGGAAAAGAGAGTTTCTTTATTGCAACACAGTAAAAGAATGAACTTCTCTCGTGTAGCTATACCTGGTGTTAAGCAAACCATAACGCTCTGCAGCGCGAAGGGAGGTGTGGGAAAATCCACATGCTCCGTCAATGTGGCGCTTGCACTGAAAAACATGGGCTTCAGTGTTGGTATTGTGGATGCGGACATCACCGGCCCTTCAATACCCACCATGATGAGCGTGGATGCCTCACAGGTGGAGACATATCGTGTGGCTGGCAGTGACCGATTTGCGCCACCAACGAACTTTGGTGTCAAGGTCATGAGCATGGGTCTTGTTGTGCCGTATGACGAGGCCATCGCAGTGCGAGGGCCGATGGTAAACAAATATATCCGAGCCCTGTTATTCCAAACAGACTGGGACGAGTTGGACTACCTCGTCATCGATATGCCGCCGGGGACAAATGATGTGCACTTGACACTGACACAAGAGGTTGTTCTGACAGGCGCGGTTATCCTTTCCACGCCTCAGAGAGTTGCGCTGGTTGATGTTCGACGAGGAATTGACATGTTTGCCGCCGTCAATACCCCTATTTTGGGCATTGTAGAAAACATGAGTTACTTTGCATGCGGTCAGTGCGGCACGAGACACAATTTGTTTGGCACCGGCGGTGTGAAGGCAACTGCGGAAGAGCTTGGGGTGCCATTTCTCGGGGAAATACCATTCGTGCCGCGCATCATGCAAGATACCGACGCCGGATACCCACCCGCACTGCGTGGGGACGGCACAATGGAGGCAGCAGAGCCATTTTACAAGTTAGCAGAGCGCATTCACGACGCCGTCGTTGCACTAAAAACAAACAAGGCGAACAAACTCACAGGCGCTGGGCCTTCTATTAAATTTGATGGCTAGCACGACGAAAAACACCTCAAAAATGAATGAAGAAAAAAAAAAAAACCGAAAAAAAAACTTTTCCTTTTGCCGCGTCGGTGATGGCTGGCTCTTGTGCGGCAGTCTTCTCCCTGTCATTTCTGTGGCTGCATCGTCACTTCCTTTCCCCGCTTTTCCTTGTTGTTTTTTTTCTTTTTGCCAACGCGTGCGACACAAGGTTGAAGAGACCTTTTGAGCTGATCCAGTGGAGGGTAGAAACAGCGACAGACCCGACCACCGCCAACAATGACTTACCAATCAATGACAACCGCATGGTGTGTTGCCATCCTGCTCCTTGCCGTGACAGGCGCAAACGGCCTGTACGTGCTGGAGCTGGTGCAAGTGGCTCATCGCCACGGTGTGAGTCCGCCTCCGGTGGCCACACCCAACCGTGAGAAGATGTGCAGCCCCAACGGCGCAAGCAGCTGCACCGCCATCGCAAAGAGAGGCGTGGAGCAGATGACGGCCATGGGGGCCCACATTCGGCAGCTGTACAGCGGGGACGCGGCCACTTTTGGTAGCGCCACGTGGTTCCAGCCGCCCTACGACGTTTCAGCCGTGTCCACCCGTTCCATTGCGGACCCCGCCACGGTCCAGGCGGCGGCGGCGCTGCTGGGTGGGATTTACGCCAGTGAGAGCGCCACTATCGTCCCGACGATCATCTCGACCGCACCCGAGCGTGACGCTCTGCTCAACGTGGAGGCATTCCCGTCGTCCACCATCACAAGGATGATCAACGCGAAAGCGTTCAATGCGGCACTGGAGGCGGTTGTGGACGAGCAGTTCCCCGACGCCAGTGTCGTGGAAGCCATGGGCGCGGAGGTCGGCCTGGATGCTGCACTCTGTTCGGCGCCCGCCACGAGGGTGTTGTGCTGTCAGCGGCTGCAGAAGCTGGCGGTGATGTATGCTGCGGTGGGAGCCACCGACGGCGCTCCCACTGTGATGGCGAACAAGGCCAAGCTGGATGCTGTTGCCGCCGCGTACTTCCACGTCTCGCAGGGCTACAACGCCAGCGTACCCCAGGATGTGGCGCGCGGCAGCCTTGGACTGCCGCTTGCGCGAGAGCTGCTTCGCAACATGCGCGCGAAGATGCTACCTGAGGGTGACGCCAACCGCAACACGAAGATGATGATGCAGTACGCCCACCGGGTTCCCATCCAAACGGCGCTTGGGCACGATCCGAGCGACGCGACGCCACTGGGCGAGACGT